AATATTATCGAGGTGGCCAAGACTATTGAAGAAGCCAGTACTGAAGAAATAACGCAAACTTACCACCAACTCCAAGCCGCACCGTCCGTTGAGGTCAATGTATTGAATCAAACCCTTCGAAGCCTAATTGATAGGTTGGAACAAGTCGAAACCACCAAGAAAACGACTTATCAACCCAGAACATACGACAGGAACAGGAATCAACAAAGTCCCAGAAATCTACCGACCTGTTATTGATGTGGCCAGACTGGACACATACAACGATTTTGCCAGAACACTCATAACACAAACGATACCCCCCGCAAATAACCGACAGAGTCAACAGTCGACTTACAATGCAAACTTAGCGACTATTAGTAATAACCCTTTTGGACAAAATAATGCTGCCACAACACAAGTGCCCAAGGCAAATAATGCCCGATTAATTAATACTGACGCCCTTCTTTCGCAGATTCAGACGCTTGCTAACGTTATCCAGGCATCCACCAACACTGAAAATAACACTCACGGTACATCGAACTCAACACTCTTGGTGACACATGAATACTTGGTCGGAAAATGTAAACGAACTAAGATAGAACCCCGGAAGACGATGTAAACGAAGGGATCGAGCAAGCTGAGAACAAGCCAGAAGACAAAAAGAAAAAGAGAAAGGCCAAAGCTGAATTACCAGTACTTGCCTCCCTTACGATATCTTAAATGATCTCGCTGCTGCAAATGCCAATATCACCATCGCGCAATTAATTAAAACTTCGCCGGAGCAACGCATCAAGATGTCCAAAGGGATGAGACAACCCATCAAAAAGAAGACGACGCGAAAGACGACCGGGATGACTTGTCAGGCAAGGATCAAAACTACCTTAGCTTGGTGCGAAGCTAAAGTTGGGAATACACCTATCGACCTTATCATCGATACCGGAGCCTCCGGATGTGTGGTTAGCCACGATGACGGATATAAATGGCCATACCAAGCAACCGTTAAGAGTAATCGACGAGTTTCCAATCACGATCGACGGAATCGTAATTCCGGCGGAGGTCGACGTCACGGAAGCCAAAACCTACAGCGTAATAATCGGTATGGACTTACTAAACAAAGTAAACGCCAACATCGACGTCGAATAGAATGGGCAAGTTAATATCCAGTATATCCATGATCAAAGGAATCCTATAAACCTCGAATCTGATACAGACGACTCTGAACTCTCCGATGACGAATCAACCGACAGCGATGAAGAATTCGAAGAACAACAACTGGAGAATCGGAACTTTCTTTGTTGGACTGCCGAAAACTCTTGGACACAGATACAAACGGTTATCCGAATGTTGGATGAAGTTGACCTGGAAGAATACCCCGATACATTGCTAGGAGAATACCAAAGGTTGACGACGTCTGTATCTACAAGGAAGGAATTCAAATTAATAATAAGACAATCGATTGGGAAGAATACGGCCGCTTAGAAAGAAAATTTGACCAAATCAAATACCACAACTCAAAATGGAAGCTCGACTGGAAGGGCCCGGCTGAATGTTGGTGTCGATGTATATTTTCGAACTCAACCCACGAATGCCAAATATGCTACCAGGAATTGATCGTATGGATCAATGCAAAGCTTCGAGTCCCCGACAACCTTTCTATTCTTCTAGACGAGGGCTCTAGTAAGGATTGGTGAATCGAGGTAGAAAACCAGCGACTCTCCGATAAAATTCCAATCGTTAATACCAAGTTTCCAACCAAAGAATCGGCTCTCGTCTGTCTTCAGCTGGATGAACGAGTAAAACGCTGCCATGGATGTCAATACTATGTAGATAATTTAAGGACGATGATAGTAATTGAGCAAGACGGATCCAAGAACGAATACTGTGAAGACTGCGTAAATATAGGAAAACTAAACTTACCCGTATGCTCCCAGTGTGGTGCTCGCGTCCCCTGCATCCGAAATATATGGTGTTGGAAGATATCACTCGACCAAGTATTTTTGCTCCTATTATGAACAATGTGTTTATATGTTCAATCACGGAGGCTGGAGGAAAAATAACGGAATGATTCAGAAGTTACGCGAAGGCGGAATACCTACTTTGATGTACCAGGAATGCAATGAAATTGGAAAGGCCATCCTGTCTCGCTATGTCAACGAAGATGACTTTGAAGGCGAACTAGGATATATTAATTACGAAGGACCCGAAGAAGCTCCAGCAACCGAAATCTTTATGTCAATATATCAACAGCTAACTCCAGAACGACGGTCACAATTAGCTCGGCTAAAATTCATCAACGTTCGCCTCTGTGCCGAATGTCTAATTACTTGTGACTCCGAGAAATGTGACGATTGTAGCACGCAGTCCATACCAATCCTCGAAGCGAACCAGAACACTGGCAAAGGAAAGGCCAAAATCGAGTCAAAGGTTGAGGAGGCTGAAATTGAAATGGAAGCCGCGATGGGAGAAGAAGTTGTTCCAAGATAGGGGTGTTCTAGTAAAACAAATAACGAGGTGAGAAATAACAACTACAAGGCAACAAATAACGAATATCATACCTGGGAAACAACCTTCACAGGAATGATGAGACACATTAAAAGAGGAAACGATCAATGTACAACACCAAACAAAACCCAAGAAGCCAATTACCTAATTAAAGTCTACACCAATGATGGATTCCAGAACGCGCTCATGAAACTGACGCGGGATTTGACCTTCGCTACCCTGGAACGGAAACCATCACCATCAAACCAAGCCAAACTATTCTGATTGACCTCTTTATTGCGTTTGAAGTTCCTGTAGAAACCGTCTGCCAATTAATGTTGCGATCGTCCTTAGTAAAGAAAGGCATAGAGGTGAAAAGAGGAACAATCGACGCTGGATATACCGGGAATATAGGTCCACAGAGGGGGCACCACGAATGTCACAGGTGGGTTGAAGTTTCGTGGATTTGGGGAAATTTGTGAACTGTGACGGTGGGTGGGAGAGGGCGATTAACTAATTTTATCAGTTGGTCTAAATCCTGTGCCGATATCTACGGATATCGTTCAATATGGTCGTTTCAAAGGTAATT